GAAAAGAATCATCTTGCAAATACCGGCCTCTTGATAGGTTTCCCGAATAGGCTTTTCATCCTTGATCTCCTTTTTGGCGACATATTTGTGGTACATGTTAGTGGAAAGAATTATGTCAACCATTGCATGCATATATATATATGTCCACGTAGATATATGATGAGTTATCTGTAAAACCTCTATCTTTCATTAATCATTCATAAATAAATAAAGTTTGTCGTGCCGGCATTAAGTCATTACTTTTATGATGATAACCTGGTTACATTTAGTAGTTATTCATATATTCAAACAAAGAAACGGTTAGCATGAAAGTCGCTTTGGCGGAGTGGTTAACGCGGTGGCCTGCTAAGCCATTTCCCTTTGGGAGCGCAGGTTCGAATCCTGCAGGCGACGCAAATTTATTTTTTTAATTTTTAAAAAATAAAAAAATTTTTTTTTAGGGTTTCTACGCTACCAAACATCAATTTAGTCGATCTAACCCCGAAACCGCGAAATTTTATCATCCAATTCGCCATCTCTTCTATCTTCATCACTCCCTCAAAAAAAAAACAATAATGATTTCTCGACATCTTTACACAAAACTGACATCGCATCTTCCCCCAATCATCTCTCCAACAATTTCAAGATCATCATCTCTGTTAAACATCACTTCACATCAATTTCGGCTGACGTTAATTTCATCAAACTTGGTGATCCAACAGAAAAGAACGGGAACCGCTAAACCCAAAAGTTCGTTTTTTTCGATATAATAGAGATATCCGAAATGCAATTCTTTAATCGGTCTGCCTTGAAGTGAGCAGAGATGCTGTTTACCATGAAGCTTGCTGATGGTTGATTTCTTTTAGTAACGAAGAAAGCAGTTGCAACAAAACCTAAAGGGGGGTTCAAAAAAAAACCAACAGCGAAAACGAAAGGTGGAACGGGTGAGGTCAGTTAACATGGACACCTTTAATCATCCTATTATGAACTTTCACTCTGAGTTCTCGAGATCCATCCTTTAAACATTTTAGCCTGAAGAAACTGTTTCTGGTTCAATTGGAGAAAAGAACACGGAATTCTTTAAACCTCCTCCTGCCTTACTGTTGGAAGATATGTTGCCCGTGAGTTTACGTCATCCCCGAAAAGCTTAACCCACAGGATTCTAAATTATCAATGATCAATGTTGAATAGGAAGTGTTCGTGGATAAGAATATCGGCAAAGTTTTTAGAATTCCCGAGGAGATAATGCCCAAATTTGAAATATTCAAGTTTCCACCAATTCTGGGGAGGGAGGTCGGTTTAACGTATATTCCGGTGTTATTGACGGAATTCACTTGTGATTGTTATATAATCTCGGCAATTTTTTAATAGCTCGCTCTGTTGCCCGCCCCGTCTTTGGCAATACGCCAGAAGTCAGTGGAACTAATCAAACTACTTGAATCCGCATCAAAAGAGTCTTCCGCAAATGGCAATCTTATATTGTGTAATCCATTGCATCTCGTGACATCCTGTGAACACCACAATTCCACATTTAACCTTAATCTAATTCATTTTCGCGAATAGCCGGGCAAATGGGGGCAGGAAAAAGTGCACTGTTGCTTCAAGCGGTGAATTGTGCGTTGTGTTCAGGAAAATGGATTGTGATTTATATTTCGGATGGTATGAAAGAAACACCTCGTGAAATTTGTCACGGGCAGATGCTTTAATTGATGAATGATGCTTGATTCATCTGACAGCCATCAAGTATGTGAACAGTACACATCCTTACGCAAAAGACAAAGGAAAAGACGAGTTTATACAGCCCACGTTGGCAAATGAGTTATGCAAACAGATTAAACTGGTCAATGAGGAACTGTTGGAAGGTGTAAGTCAACTCACGAAAGAATCAACAACAT